CTCCTCGGAGCCTCCTCGGAGCTTTCTCGGAGCCTCCTCGGAGCTTCCTCGGAGCCTCCTCGGAGCTTCCTCGGAGCCTCCTCGGAGCTTCCTTGGAGCTTCCTTGGAGCCTCCTTGGAGCTTCCTTGGAGCAGCCCTGTGGGTCCCTCGGTGCCGTGGGGTGGCACGGGCCAAATGCAGCTGTTACCATGAGGTGCTTCTGCCCGGCTGCTTGGAAATTGAGTTAAAACTCCCATAATTGGGGACTAAGCTCCCAAAAGAACTGGTTGAACTCACCTGTCCCTCTGCCCGGGATTTATGGCACTTACAAAAACGTTTCCGTGCTCCAAGGCAGCCGTCCAAGGTTTAATGCCTTCGTGTGGCTCGGGATGCTGCAGGGTTTGTTTGCTGCCGAGTTTATGGCGTGCCAGATGGGTGGTGGCTTGGGAAGGCTTGGGAAGTCGGGCTTTGCGCGCACGGAATCGCTTTCCCGTTTCAAAGCGCCGCAGGAAAACGCGGGGATTTTTTGTGAGGAAAAGGAGAGAAATGGGTTTTGTTTTCCGCCAGGACCAATGGCGAATGCTGCAGCCCCCACGAGCACACCTCAGAAGCTGATTCCTCCCCAGCCCACGGGCCGGCCCTCGCCGGCGCCTCCGGCCGTGCCGCCGGCCGCCTCTCCGGTGATGCCGCCGCAGACGCAGTCGCCGGGGCAGCCGGCCCAGCCGGCCCACCTGGTGCAGCTGCACCAGAAGCAGAACCGCATCACGCCCATCCAGAAACCGAGGGGCCTCGACCCGGTGGAAATCCTGCAGGAGAGGGAGTACAGGTGAGGCCACGGCGCTGTCTTGGGAATTACGAGGTCCGGAGACGAAGGGACTGGCTCTTCCTTTGCTTTTCTCATTCCCCTGGTGCTTTTTGTTCCCCTGAGGAGCACCGTAATGATTCCCTGTCCCGTTTTACATCTCATTAACATGTCATGTACAGAGGGGTGAAACTTCCTGGGACATCTTCAGGCCATCTCGTCTCCCGCTTCCAGGGGCTGACACCAGTCTGATGTTTTGTTAGGTGTCTATCTGCTAGGGAAGAGGCTGCTATAATAATTTCTTACAAAAGAGTTAAAATTCCGAACACCAAAGGGATATTGGGCTGCCGAGGACCTCCGTCATCCTAGAGAGGATCTGACAAGTGGGAGTTGTGTTTGGGAGCTTCATTTTGCTGCGTTTTGCCCGTTTTGAAACTCGTCTCGTTCCTTCGCAGACTGCAGGCGCGTATTGCTCACCGAATCCAAGAGCTCGAGAACCTTCCTGGGTCCCTGGCTGGGGACCTGAGAACCAAAGCTACCATTGAACTTAAAGCACTGAGGCTGCTCAACTTCCAGAGACAGGTAGGTCCTTGTCACCCCAAAACACTTCCGTGCTCATTCTGAGCCTCGGCTGCCACGAAATGGAGGAAATTCTCATTCTCACAGTGCTGTTGGCAGAATTAAATCCTTTTTTTCGCACATCCATCTCTCCCAAAGCTGCGTCAGGAGGTCGTGGTGTGCATGAGGCGAGACACAGCCTTGGAAACAGCCCTGAACGCCAAGGCCTACAAGCGCAGCAAGCGGCAGTCCCTGCGCGAGGCCCGGATCACCGAGAAGCTGGAGAAGCAGCAGAAGATCGAGCAGGAGCGGAAGCGCAGGCAGAAGCACCAGGTCAGCTGGGGCACAGGGACACGCTGGGGTGAGGGCTGCCCCTTTCCAAGGCAACTGGAATCCCCAGGAGCCTTGGAGAGAGCCCCCAAGTTAGTCTGATGGCATAAACCCCGAGTGAAATGTTTTTGGAGTATTATGCTCAATGAGGAAACTCAGGCGTCTGTATTGAATAATATGGTAAAACTGTATTGAATAATACGGTAAATCTGTATTAAATAATACAGTAAATCTGTATTGAATAGTATAGTAAATATGTATTGAATAATATAGTAAATATGTATTGAATAATATAGTAAATCTGTATTGAATAACTTAGTAAATCTATATTGAATAACTTAGTAAATCCATATTGAAAAACCTAATAAATCCATATCGAAAAACCTAGTAAATCCATATCGAAAAACCTAATAAATCCATATCGAAAAACCTAGTAAATCCATATCGAAAAACCTAGTAAATCCATATCGAAAAACCTAGTAAATCCATATCGAAAAACCTAGTAAATCCATATCGAAAAACCTAGTAAATCCATATCGAAAAACCTAGTAAATCCATATCGAAAAACCTAGTAAATTTGTATTAAATAACCTACTAAATCCATATGGAATAATGTAGTAAATCTCACTTGGCTCTTGCTGTTAGAAGTACATATTAACTCAGCAGAATGCACAAGCCCTGACTGCCTGGTTGTTTCTTTCCCTCGTTCCAGGAATACCTCAACAGCATCCTGCAGCATGCCAAGGATTTCAAGGAATACCACCGCTCCGTCACAGGCAAAATCCAGAAGCTCACGAAGGCCGTGGCCACTTACCACGCCAACACGGAGCGCGAGCAGAAGAAGGAGAATGAGAGGATCGAGAAGGAGCGCATGCGGCGCTTGATGGTACGGCCTCGCTCCAGGGAGCTCTGTATGTGCATGTATATGTGTCACCGGGTGTTGCAGTGGGTGACAAGGTGACCACGAGGTGGCAGGGTGTCCCCAGGAGGTCAATGGGATCCTGGGGGGCGTTAGGAGGAGGCTCCAGCAGGTCGAGGGGGTCCTGCCCCTCTGCTCAGCCCTGGTGAGGCCGCATTTGGAGCGTTGTGTCCACGTCTGGAGCGTTGTGTCCACGTCTGGAGCGTTGTGTCCAGTTCTGGAGCACTGTGTCCACATCTGGAGCACTGTGTCCACATCTGGAGCGTTGTGTCCAGTTCTGGGCTCCCCAGGACAAGAGGGATGTGGAGCTGCTGCAGAGAGGCCAGCGCAGGGCTACGAGGATGATGAGGGGCCTGGAACATCTGCCCTATGAGGAGAGGCTGAGGGAGCTGGGCCTGTTCAGCTGGAGAAGAGAAGGCTGAGAGGGGACCTGAGCAGGGTCTATAGGTACCTCAAGGGAGGCCGTGAGGAGGATGGGGCGGCCTCTTCTCACTGGTGGAGAGCGATAGGACAAGAGGAAACGGCCACAAACGGAAGCACCAAAAGTTCCACAGGAACTCAAGGAAAAATTCCTAACATTGAGGGTGCCGGAGCCCTGGAACAGGCTGCCCAGAGAGGTTGTGGAGTCTCCTTCTCTGGAGACCTTCAACCCTGCTTGGACGCAGTCCTGTCCCCGTGCTCTGGGTGACCCTGTGTGTGCAGGAGGTTGCACTGGGCGATCCCTAGAGCATTCCCTGATTTTATGATATATTGATATATAGAGATATCAGGGGTGCATGATGAGTTGCTATGTACTTTGGGGTGTTCATGCTGCTTATGCTGTTCGTAGCCTACTGGCTGGTGTCAGCGATTTGTTGCTAGCAGGGTGTCAATGTTCCTTTTCCCCCCTCAGGCTGAGGATGAGGAAGGCTACCGCAAGCTGATTGACCAGAAGAAGGACAAGCGCTTGGCCTACCTGCTGCAGCAGACGGACGAGTACGTCGCCAACCTCACCGAGCTCGTGCGGCAGCACAAGGCCGCGCAGGTGGCCAAGGAGAAAAAGAAGAAAAAGAAAAAGAAGGTGAGTTAAAAGGGAAGCTCCGCGCGCTGCTAGGGCGGTGCCTTGGCAAGAACCAGGCTGATTGCTGGTGGGGCCAGGGGAGAGTCAGGATTGAGGATTATCTCACTTTGGGACAGGAACCCGATTCTCAAGGGTGTTGCAGCTGGACTTGTCTGGCTGGGTCTGCAATTCCGCTCCCTTTTCCGGTTTTTCGGGGATAGTTGCATAATGAGCACAGCACCGAAGCGGCTGGTTCATCCCAGCTTTGCGTGTGTCCTTTCCTTCCGTGCGGAGCTGCTAAGAGTTATCTCCCTTTTCTTTCAGAAGGCAGAGAATGCGGAGGGGCAGACTCCTGCGATCGGACCAGATGGCGAAGTAAGCCCAATAATCTTATTTCATGCCGTGCCAAGGCGGATAGAAAACATTTGTTAGCCATGTGCTGGAAGGGCCTGTTGTAATCCCTCGTGCCTGGCTGCGACGATGAGTTTTAATGCAATAGGCAGCTAAACAGAGGCCTCCCAAAATAGAACTTGCACCACGACGCAAAGAAATGTCTCTTTTGCCACCAGCAACGTGAGCGGTTTTAGCAGGAGGCCCCGGCCTTGCAGAAAGGCTTTGGACGTGCTGGGAAGAGCAGGATTTGGTATTTGGGACATCTGGGAGCTGCCGAGGCGGAGTTTGGCTTCCTCCTGCGACGCAGATTTCCTGTGTTATCTCCGATAAGTCAGTGTGGGGTTAGGATTCACCTCGCCCATCGCTCCGAGGGGATCAGGTCCCCTCCGTCCTCGGAGCGGGGCAGCTCCGGAGGACACTTCATTCCATAAGGGAATGGCTCCAGACGTGCACGTTGAGGATAAGCACAGCGATCATTGCCAAACACTGAGGTGCAGCTGCAATGAAGCTGTTAAAATACCTGCGAGGGATTCAGGACTTTACATATGTAAGCAGCCCGGATAATGCACCGGGATAATCCCGGCACTTAAAACTACATGTGCTTAAGACTTTGTGAAATCCCTTGGGAGCAGAAGAGCTTTTCAGCGGTAGTTAGTGATATTTTAAATTAGTCGCTCTTTTATTAAGGCTGGTTGGCATCTGAATATGCATTTTGTTCCACATGCACAGTCTTAATTTGTGCATTCGTTTTTAAAAAGAAGATGTTGAATCTTTGCCCATCCTTTTGGGAAGCGGTTGTTGAAACAGCCGCTTTCTTCCTCGTTGTTGTTATAGTGGTGCATAAGTGGGATCGGTTAAAGCGGTGGTTATTGGTGTAAACACAAGCTCTGTTTTGAGGTGGAAAAGTCAAAAATACTCAACTGCAGCGTGGTCTTGCTTTGTCAGCCTCTGGATGAGACGAGCCAGATGAGCGACCTCCCCGTGAAGGTGATCCACGTGGAAAGCGGCAAGATCCTCACCGGCACGGATGCGCCGAAGGCCGGACAGCTGGAAGCCTGGCTGGAGATGAACCCAGGGTGAGTCGTGCTGCATTTGTGCATGGAGCAATTTTCCCTCCCGGAGCCCTCCAGAGGGTTGGGAGCGACGTTCCGGAGTGGATCGGTGGCAGGAAAAGCGCTGAGCGTTGGCATGGGCCCAAACCCTAAACATTGGGAAGCTCCAAGAGCCCAAGGAAGTGGCGCTGAAGAGCAGAAAGGAAAGATTTCCTCAGTTGTGCTCTGTTTTGCAGCAGCTAAAATTATGTGGGAAAGATTTGCAGAAGTGCTTAGTGGGTGGCCCTGCACTTAGGCGTTTTTCCAAGAGCACATGTGAAAACTTGAAATCAGTAAGGAAAGATAAACAAGCATTTTATGATAAAAGTAATACTAATAGCAAAATTCCGGTTTAATCCAAGGGTTTATAGGCCTATGCTGATCTGGTGTTTTGTGTGGAGCGCTGTTGGTAGCAGATTTGAAATTAAACATTAATGTTTCTATTTAATTAGATATGAAGTAGCGCCAAGATCTGACAGCGAAGAAAGTGGGTCAGAGGAAGAAGAGGAGGTAAGGAGGAATATCACCAGCCATTTTTATGCTTTAATATTTCAAATATTCTTGACAGAGGGAGCAGTAAATGTGATATACAGCACAAAGCTCATCTTGGTGCTTGCTTTTTTCCAGCACAGCTCTGTGCAAGTCCAGCTAAAATAAGCACATTTAGGGTAAACTGGAAACCGATGTAAAAAGCAACCACAGGTAGTGTGGAGCAGAGAGAGTTTAGTTTATTAGCTGTGTGGTTTTCTTGCTTAATATTTTTTTTCGCGTAATTCTTTGGACATTCAGAAGCAAATTCTGTGAAGTTCTGCTTCCCTTTTTGCTTTTGGAGCTTCGTAACGCTGCTCCGGTGCTCTGGATTTCCTTGGCATGCTGACACAACAGGGATCATTTTAATTTAGTGCAGAGCGTCTCGTCTCCGGGGCTCCTCTGGCTTCTTCTTAGCCAAACTGTGTTTTCCTACCCTGGGTTCTGAGCAAAATAAATAGTTTTCCAAAAATATCTACCGAGAAAATGCTCTGCACCTTTTTATTGGAGCCTGCTCTGCTGGTGCCCCTGGATGTGGTGCCTCTGGATGCGTAGCTGGAGAGTTTATCCCATGGATGTGCTTTGTGCGGACTCGGTCACTCCTCCCAGGGCTGTTGTGCAGGTTTTCCTGCCCTTTCCAGCATGGGAATAAGTCACTGTCTCCCCTGGCAGGAGGAGGAAGAGGAACAACCGCAACCTGCTCAGCCTGCCCTGCCTGTAGAGGAGAAGAAAAAGATCCCGGATCCAGACAGTGACGATGTGTCGGAAGTGGATGCCAGGCACATTATTGAGTAAGCTCCACCTGGCTGCCTTTATGGGTTAAATGTGGTGGTTCCCTCTTTTTTCCCCCCATTAGAGGTTGGGGTGGAGGGCCAGGATGGAGTGGTTGCTCCAAGGAGCTTTGCTGGACACTGGTACCTGCTAGAGGGAAGTCTGTGCTGCTTTTCCTTGGGGCAAAAAGAAATCCTTGTGCCCCTTTGGCTGCAAGAAGCCTTTCACCACGTGAAGTAATGCTCTAATTTTAGGTACTTTAACTTTTACACTTTTAAACTCTGGAGAATCTTTGCTGTTAGCACAGCACAGATCAAGTACCCCTGGATTTTTGGCTTACAATGTGGGTAGGATTCAGAATATTGGGGCTTCTGTTTCGAAGCCGCTCTGTCTTTTTCCCAAATCCCAAGTGTTTTGTGTCGAAGGAGCGAAATACAGAGGGACAGGCGGTGTTTGCCTTGCTCCTGCTTCATAAAAGCAGCTTTCCAAAACGAAAGCTGAGCTGGTTTGTGTTAGGAGAAAGGAATTAACCACTCCAAGCATCGCTGGGGCTCCTGAGCTGTATCCCAAAGGGAATGTGTCCATGTTTCCCCCCTCTAGGAATGCGAAGCAGGATGTGGATGACGAATACGGAGTCTCCCAAGCTCTGGCAAGGGGCCTGCAGTCTTACTACGCTGTGGCCCACGCGGTCACCGAGCGGGTGGACAAGCAGTCCACGCTCATGGTCAACGGCGTCCTCAAGCAGTACCAGGTGAGAGGCCGTGCCCGGGAGCAGCGTTTTGGGCAGGAAACAGGGAAATCCGGGTTATTCCGGGACGTTCCTGGCCGCAGGAAGCAGGAGCTGAAGGAAACCCCTGTAGAAATGTGATGAGATTCAATGAGAGGGAGAGGTGAGGTGCAATGACCCAGGCTGCAGAGCTTTGGCTGCTGTAAAATAACGAGCCAGGCTTGCTTAAAATGAAAAATGTCACCTCGCCGCCTGCTCCTCAAAGGAGAGGAATGCATTAAGGCCAGTGACTGGTTTTAAATAATTAAAACAAGCTGCTTAATAGTGCATAGGGAGTTCATCTGCATAATGCATGAGATGGGGGTGGGAGTGTGCAGGTCATTAGCACATCCTGGATATGCGGCTCGTCTGGCTGGAGTCATTGTGCTTCATTTTCACCTCTTAATTCCTCTTTTTTTTTCCCTTTAGATCAAAGGTTTGGAGTGGCTTGTGTCCCTGTACAATAACAACCTGAACGGTATCCTGGCAGATGAAATGGGTCTGGGCAAAACAATCCAGACCATTGCTTTAATTACATACCTCATGGAGCACAAACGAATCAACGGACCCTTCCTCATTATAGTACCTCTCTCGTAAGTGCAACGGGCAAATTCGTTGCCCCTTTTCAGTGCAGAAAAGCAGAGAAAACGCTTGGCTGTGCTCTGACTCTCTCTGTTATGCAAGGCCCACATTTACCATTCCCTTTTTCCTCTTTTTTTCTTTCCAGAACTCTGTCAAATTGGGCATACGAGTTTGATAAATGGGCTCCTTCTGTGGTGAAGGTCTCATACAAGGCAAGTACTGGCTTGATTTTTGCACTCACCTCCTGGGCTCTTTTGGCTGCTCATTTTGCAAGGATTCCTTGAATACCAGTTTGCATTTTCCCCTCCCTGGTATAACAGTGTTTCCCTTATCAAAAGGAATATGAGACTCTTCCTGGCACTAAATAGATTAAATCCACATTTGTTTTTCATTTCTTAACAAGAGAAAGAATCTGACTGCTGCTGCCTGCACAAATGTTCTAGCCACGGTGCCTTTATATAACTCCAGTCATTGTTGTCATGTTGATAATAATGATTTCTACCACTTCTCTTTTCCAAGGAATTATATTTTCACTCAATATTTCTTTCTGGAATCTTCAGGGCTCTCCAGCAGCAAGACGAGCATTCGTACCTCAGCTTCGAAGTGGAAAATTCAATGTCTTGCTCACTACTTACGAATATATCATCAAAGATAAGCACATTCTTGCCAAGGTGAGTTCTCCCAGCAAAAAGCAGCAGGATCTCCGTGGAATTCCTTGGATCTCCTTGGGAATTATTTATATTGCAGCAGAAGGATCACTCGGCCTCATTGAGGCATTGCACCCTTGTAACGGAGAACATCCCCGTCCAAAAGATCTTGCCATTTAAGTGGGATTTAATTTACTTTTCTATTCCTTTCCCCTCTTGGGTCTCACTATCACGTGCTAGGATGAGAAGAGCTGCTGCCTACCCCAATCTGCTGGAGTATTCTCTGTGCCATTCATTATTTTTGGCTGCAAATCTTGTGATACTAGCTGTTTTTTTCCTTTTAAAAAAAGAAAATCCTGGGGCTATAAATACTGACTGGAAACTATGCAGGATTTTCTTGGCCTTTCCCCCCCAGCTGATCAGTGGAGGGTATTTATATACTTCGCAGCGTGCCACGGGGCAAAGATCCAATGTTTTGGGATTCCCCGAGGTTTGAGAAGTGCCGTTTTGGAAGAATGCAGCCGATCTGTGAAAACCCCTCACGGGAGCTGGCTTCATCTTTGCTTAAAATTAGCTCAACCTGGCACAATAAATAGGCAGCGCGGCTGAGCTTGGTGCCCAGGGCCCACGTGTGTTTTCGGAGCCATTCCGGGTCATTTCTTACCTTGACCAGTCTTTGGAGGGAACTGTCTCCTCTTGTCTGCTCTCTTTGCACTGCTGAGAGTTAAATAAATCTGATTGTTTGTGGCTGAAAAGCTCAAGAAACACTGAAATCCCCCAAAGCCAGCATCAATCTGTCATCTATCTCACATTAGCATTCCTCTTTTTTTCCCCTTGCTCCTTCTTTTTGTTTTTTTTTTTGTCTCCGAGCCAGAACTATAAAGTGCTCCTGATGGGAGCAGCTTTGGAGCAGTTTGGGTGGGTTTCCACGACCCCGTTTAGCTTTGATCTCTCCTGCTTCCAAATTGGCCCAGATTTGGAGGTTGTTGGGGCCGTTCTCCGCTCGCAGCCGGAGCTCAGGCTCTTGCCCACGCTCGTCTCCTCCTGCCCGCAGATCCGTTGGAAGTACATGATCGTGGACGAAGGGCACAGGATGAAGAACCACCACTGCAAGCTCACGCAGGTCCTCAACACGCACTACGTAGCCCCGCGGCGCCTGCTGCTCACGGGGACCCCGCTGCAGAACAAGCTGCCCGAGCTGTGGGCTCTGCTCAACTTCCTCCTCCCGACCATCTTCAAGAGCTGCAGCACCTTTGAGCAGTGGTTTAACGCCCCGTTTGCCATGACGGGAGAAAAGGTATGGATGGAAGGAAGCAGCGGGAGGGCAGCTTAGGCTGGGACAACACAGTTCTGCTGTTTTAACTTCTGCTAATTGCATTAGGATCATCATCTTCCTGTAAAATAGGGGTCCTTTGGCATGGGACTGACTGGTAGAGTAGAAAACTCGGAGTGTAACTGAGTGCTGGAAACGAGGGTCGAGGGGCTGTTCTCCCATCACTTAGAGCATCCATGTGGGAAGCCGGTTGGGCTCCTGCCAGGATGGATTCCCCAACCATGGAGGTGCTTTTAGTGCCATTATGTTCCTGGTTACGTGTCTGTGTGAAGAAACTCCTGCATTACAGCAGCTGAGGCTGGGCAGAACAGGTTACCAAACAGCTTGGGGAAGATAAGGGAGCTTGAGCTTGAAAAATAAAATCAATGCAGAAACCTCAGGCTGTGGGAATTGCCTCAAAGAGACTTTAGGCTGGAAAACACGTTCTCAAAGTGCAGTTTATGGAGCATTTCTTCATTAAGTCTTACTTTCACCTTGGGAATCTTGCAGTCCATGAGGGCTGTGGAGGAAAGAGAGGAGCTCCTGCTGCTCATCACGTAATGATGTGTTTCCTGGGGTCTGGTAAAACAGGTGGATCTGAACGAAGAAGAAACAATTCTGATAATTCGGCGTTTACACAAAGTGCTGCGGCCCTTCCTGCTCAGGAGGCTGAAGAAGGAGGTCGAAGCGCAGCTACCTGAGAAGGTAAAGGCTGGAGGAACCGCCTCATCCGACCCTTCCTGCGTATCCATGTTCATTCCCACCTTGGTTTCACATGGGGAATTTTGCTAAGAAGTAGCTTAAAAGGTTCCTTTCCAGGGGGGTGTTTTGCAGCTGCCCGTGTTCCCCTTGGGACTCACCTCTCCTTGGTCCTTGCAGGTGGAGTACGTGATCAAGTGCGACATGTCGGCCTTGCAGAGGGTGCTCTACAGACACATGCAGGCCAAGGGGGTGCTCCTCACGGACGGATCCGAGAAGGATAAAAAGGTTTGGCTGAGGAAATCCTTGTTTTGGGCAGTGCAGCAGCTTTGCAGGACCTTTCTGCTGGTGGAGTCGCTGTTAGTTCCTAATAGACTCCAACCAGCAGCACGAAGGCCAGATCTGGCCCCTCTTGTTCCTTAAAGGAATTTTGGAGACTCTGGCAACCGTTTTAGAGCATCAACAGGCCAGTCCTGTGCTAAACGCACGGGTTGTCCCTGGATTATGGATTGAGGCTGATCCACTACAAATCCCTCGTGCGTAGACGAGAGCCTTGGAGGACGTGGTGGGTCTCACTGCATGGAGAGCTCTCTGCTCACCGAGGCCACCAGCTCGCTGTTCAAAGCAATTAAAAAGTCAAATGGCAATTAATTAACCAGAGGAGGAAAAAAGAGACACTTGGGATTAAAAACAAAGAGGTGGAGATAAAATTCCTTATTCTTCCACCCACCTCCTTTCTGCTCTCTGTTCCCATAGAGCAGCTGGCTTGTAAAAACCCATCACTCCTTAGATTTCTCAAGGTGATTTTCATGTTTTCCTTAAAACCTTGAAATTCATCCCCGATCTATTAGAGGAAAGCCTGCTGCTAATAATAATTAGGAATAATTAACAAGCCCCAGGGCAGGGCTGTTTGGGGCAGCTTTTCCAGCTGTGCAACCAGCCCATTCCCAGGACTTGCCGCGTGTTGGATATGCAGGGAATGTCCACCTGGAGCCTTGTGCATTCCAAGCTTGGCACATCCAGAAGGGTTTTCCTGGGCGCTGCCCTCGCCGTTCCAAACTCACCCTTTTCCATCTCCTTTCTGCAGGGTAAAGGCGGTACAAAAACCTTAATGAATACGATCATGCAGCTGAGGAAAATCTGCAACCATCCCTACATGTTCCAGCATATAGAGGTAACGTGTCCGTTTTTGCACATTTCTTGGTTACAGATTCTCTAGAAACTTGTAAAAACTCTTCTGTCCACCAAATCTGCCCTCTGATTAAGGGGAGGTGTGAAGAGCTGCTAAGCCAAACGGTTCTTGTTGCTGCTCAGACCAGCCAGGATCCGTGTGTTAAAACCACAAGTGCAGGAGCCAGCAGATAAACTCTGCAGCCTTGGGTGGACCTCAGGCTCCTTCCAGAACCTTCCTTCTTGCCCTCCAAAATGCTGGGAAATCTGCTCAAACACATTCGGTGAAGCAGTGTTGCCTAAAAGAGTAAAATCAGTTGGATTTGCTGAGCCCTTTTGAGACAATCTCTCTGTCCATGTAGGGAGCAAAACATCCGTTTTTTTATCCAGCAACGGGCAAAACATGTAAAAACGCTTCATTTCTGCGCCTGCCTCCCAACACAGCTGCCCATTCCACACAAAGGCCCTTTGCTGCTGTTGCCCCTTCTCTGGACCTGGCAGCCAGCTTTCCTTCTAGGGCTTTTCCAGGACTTTGCAGGATTCCTTGGTTGGAGGACAGGGTTTTATTGACGTTTTTCCTCTTTCTGCTTGCAGGAATCCTTTTCCGAGCACTTGGGTTTCACTGGCGGTATCGTGCAGGGGTAAGTGGAGGATTTTAGAGTTACAGCGAGTGATTTTTTAGCATCTCTGTGTGTGTGCACGTGGGGTTGGGGCATTGGGGCAACGCTGCAGCGGGTGCTGATCCCTCCCGCTTGGTTTTTAGCGCTGAATTCCCGTTTCCTCCCTTCTCTCCCAGCCTGGATTTGTACCGAGCGTCGGGGAAGTTCGAGCTCCTGGACAGGATTCTTCCCAAACTGCGAGCCACCAACCACAAGGTGCTGCTCTTCTGCCAGATGACCTCCCTCATGACCATCATGGAAGATTATTTTGCCTATCGTGGATTCAAATACCTCAGGCTGGACGGTGAGCGAATTCCCCGCGCGGGGCTGCGAATCCCGGTGCCCTCGGAGCTCCCGGAAATTCCATGTGTTTCCATTGGGAAGCTGCTGCTCTGCATTTCCCGCTGTTCCCTTGGAGCAGCTGGCGAGGGAGATGGATCTGGGAAAAACAACGCATCCGTAAGGCAATAAACCACGCGCAGGATGCAGGAAAAAAGGAAAAAGGGACTAAATGGCAGCCCTTGAGATTATAAAATCTCATGCTGCTCAAGATAGGTTAATCTTATCTACTATTAAATCTTGAAAACCTGGAAGATGCCATTAAGGGCCAGGTGATCCTATCCTGTATTGAAGTAATGGAAATATAAATTAGTTGAAGTCTGATTTTAATTCAGGCGGAGCGCACCATAAACCGTAAGGTGGAAAAAATCTAATCTCACAAAGAAAGAAAGTCAATGTAGCATTTTATGTTGGAATGAGACATTAAATACTTGCAAAAAGATAAAACCCAGGGATGAAGCCATCAGGTGGCTGCCAGATCCTGCCTTCTTGGCTAGCAAAAGCGTCATAATTTTTAGGGACTTGGCTTCTGAATAAAGATAAAATGACCCGGAAGTCAGAAGTGCAAAACGAGATTCAAGGCCTTAATTTTAATTCAGGCTTCTTGACTTAAAGAATGACACGAATTAAATCGCTCCTTCGATCACAAAAATCCATGGGCTGCTTCGTGCGGCATCGTACGGAATCCGGCCCTTCCCGTTAGGAGCAGGGCAGTAATTCCCCCCCTGCTCCCGATCCCGCTGCCTTCCCAATGCTCCGCAGGGAGAATCCCTGCCCGTGGTGCCGAGGCCTTGACAGCCGTCGGCAGCAACAACCGTCGGCAGCAACAGC